GAGAGCCAAGTCACCTTTCTCCCAGGTTTTTTGTAATTAAATTGCTTCTCTTGGTTTTGCCTTAGGACATACTGGAAAATAATTGTCAAAATGTGAGCTGAACAGTAGAAGTCCTTTATTAATAGATAACTAATGCTGGTGGGGCAAAACCTGGATTGAAATCAAGTGCTGTTAAGGTTAAAAAAAATTGTAAGGGATAGGATGTCTATGTTCTCATATTTAAAGTGCTTTTTGAACAAGTTCCAATGTGTTGACCTTTCTGTATTTTCTGTAGGTTCTGTTATGATTATGTGTTGAATATTTCTACTCCTTGTGTTTTCAGTCCCCAAGAAGAAGGAGCACAAGGCATGAGAGTATAAAATCCAGTTACCCAGTTTTCCTGCTGGAAGTTGGAAAAGCTGCTTTTCGCCTCGTTTCCCGAGTTTATGCCTTTGTGGCTTCCAGTATCCTTGTCCTGCAAGACTGCTGCCAAACCTTGTGCAAACTCTACAGGGAAGAGGGACCTCTTTGAGCTCAAGATTTTTACGTATTTCATGAAAATAAGTGGCTAGGGAGCAGGACAGACACCAGTTGGGCAGTCGCAAACTGTATGAGATTTAACAAGAGCAAGTGCCAGATTCTGCACCTGGGTTGGGATAATCCTGGTTCTGTGTAAAAACTGGAGACAAGAGGCTGGAAAGCAACCTGCTGAAAGAGATCTGAGGGGTTGAGTTGATGGCAAGTTGAACATGAGTCAACAGTCTGACAGCCTGGCAGCCAGAAGGGCGAGTTGTGCCCTGTGGTGCATCAAGAACAGCAATGCTGGCTGGTTGGGGGAGGTGATTGTCCCACTCTATTCTGCGCTGGTGCGGCCTCAGCTCAAGTCCTTGTGTACAGTTTTAGGAGCCTCAGTGCAATAAAAAGACCAAACTATTGGGGTATGTCTAGAGGAGGTGCCCAAGATGGTGAAAGGCCTCAAGGGCAAGATTTACTAGGAATGGCTGAGGTCACTTGGTTTGTTCAGCTTGGAGAAGGAAAAGCTGAGGGGTGGCCACATAGCAGTCTACAGCTTCTTCAAGTGGGCAGTAGAGGCAGAGGTTCTGATCTACTTTCTCTGGTTACCACCAGCAGGATGCAAGGAAATGGAATGAAGCTGCATCAGGGAAAGTTCAGATTGGACCTTAAGAGCGGGTTCTTCTCTGAGAGGATGATTGGGCACTGCAAAAGGCAGGAAGGAAGTGGTCATGGCACCAAGCCTGACAGAGTCTAAGGAGTGTCTGAATGAGGTTCTTATTCATATGGTTTATTTTTAATTAGTCCTGTGAGGAGCAGGGAGTTGGATATGATGATCTTATGGGTCCCTTCCAGCTGGAGATATTTCTTGATTGTAAGTTAGTCAGCCACTGATGGAGTAGCAGGTAAATGTCGAGCTGTGGGATGAAGACAAGGTGACCATTGTCACCTGGTCCATAGGCCGACAACTGGAAGACCAGTTGCAGCTTGCAGGCTCTGTGGCACTCTGTTGTGCACAAGGTGCGGGGGAGAGAGGGAGGGAAGGAAGAAGGAGAACACTGCATTTTTAGGAAAACAAAATTCAAGCAGTCTGTTGCTCAAGTCAGAAAGTTACGTTTGTGGTGATTCATCACAAGTCTCCTTTCTTGGTTTGTCACCATTCACGTGACTAAGGGAGGAAGTTTCCAAAGCTCCTGTCAGCTTCTGCAGTGGAATGTAAATATGACTAATACTCTAGCAGTAAGTATCTGAGAGCGGTGATAGGTCTTTGCAAAGCACTGCTATTTGCATGGTTACTTGGATCTCCTGAATACCCTCTAGCTCTTCAACTATTCAAAAACCTATGTTTGCTCTTTTGTTTTACCTACTGTTTTTCCCACAGCTAACACAGACTATGCTGGTTACTAGGGACAGCCTTCTAAAGATCTGTCTCTTGAGATTCTGGTATTTGAGCTACAGACATGAAAGGAAAATAGTATAGACACTTCTGAAATGTTCTTGAATATGCTTGTGCCCCTAGGAGCTAGAAATACCTGCTGTATCATGCTTTATATGCAATATAGTATCTGCTTTATTTGTAAATATCTTTGCTTAGACTAAGAAAATGCTTATAAGCTTAGTTGCTCTGGATGCTCCTTAGACCTGTAGGGAGTGCAGTGTATTCTTGCTGATTTTTTTTCTTCTTGGATCCTGATAATACCTTTAGTCTGGTTCTGTGGCTTTATCTCCTGTTTTCGATTCTTTCTTTCCTGGAACCAGCTGAATCCCTAGTACTGAGCTTTTCTTCTTTCAGACTAAGTCACTGAACTTCTAGTTTAGTTGGACCCACCCATACCAAAAGCTGAGCGAGTACAGTTGTAAAAGCAACTGCTTTAAAGACAAAGGAAGGTTTGCCATAAACAGTGGAGAAACACCTTTCTTTGCTGGGAAAGCAGGCTGCCAGCACCTTAGAGTGCAGATTATTGTAACCAGTTTCATAAGCTAGTATTTGACATTTTCTGCTACTTTATCTCAAAAAAGTAATGTATGTGAGGACTCTGGCATCTTGCTGCATACTCAGAAAGCAGAAGTGTGGTTGCAGAATATTGAATCTCTCCAGTCAATAAAGCATGATTTTTTTCTTTTATTAACTCTCAAATTTGTTTATTCCTCTGTCAAAGCAGCATGTCATCTGTGAGATTGGCAGTCAGCAGTCACATCCTAAATTATTTCTTCATGAAGATCTTATGTGAAAACAATCCCTTAAAATAGCAATGTCACTGAAAGCACCCCTTTTTACAATGGTTTCCTCCTCTTAAGGGAAAGCACTGCAGCTGGAACTATTCTGAGTTCCTGGACTATGTTTCATGATGGCAATGGGAAATTCTTCAAATACCCTCAAATTTCAGCTGTGCCAAAGCATAATGTTGAGTGTATGTGCTTGTTTTTCCATCTGTCACTCCTCCTAAAAAGAAACAGGGCTCTTGAAATATACCCACCAGTGTAATGTTCATTCTCTTAGTGATATAGCTTTAACTTTGAGACAGATAGTGTTAATAGTTTGTGATGGTTCATCCTCCGGTTGCTACTGTGGTAGAGTGTTTTGAGGAGTATGCATCTTCAACAGATCCCTCTGCCTGCCTTCTTAGAGTCAGACTATGAAATATCTGATCAGGTCCTGTCTTAGGCTTTCTTCCCAGGAGGACTGTAGCCTGAGAGATACATGTACTCGAGAAAACAAATAAACTAGAATTCAGAGTTGAGGAACAACTGTGCAAATACCTGTTTAAATTTGAGTGTTCTGACCTCTTTTTGCCTGTTAATATGGAGGTTTCTTGGTGTCGTGTAGCCAAGGAGGTAACTTCAAAAGTAACTGACATTGGGGTCTTAACATCTTCTAATTTTACAGAGGTTTTTGAGATTGTATTGCAAGATGATATTGACTTCAGATAAGCAGCCCTACTTGGCTGTGAGCAAGGTGATTCTTGGTTCAAATGTTACATTATGGGAATCACTGCTTAGACTTCAAATTTCAGTTTCTGCTGTAGCAGTTCAGTTGACCAGATGAACACTTTTTTTTTGTTCCATTCCGGTTGTCATTCCTAGCTTCCCTATTAAAAAAAAAAAAAAAAAAAGAAATGTATCTTAGTCTCTTTTCTTCTCAGGGGAAAAAAAAGGCATTATTACTGCAGTTATCTGAGAAGTAAAAGAGATTTCAATTTTGACTTCATTTAAGAGGAAAGATGTCACCAAGTATAGGAGCATCCATCATTCCTGATATTAAAGTCATGACTTGTCCTTGTCTTAGCTTGGCCTGTCATGCAAGTGAAAGGGACATTCTGCTTGTGGTTTGATTTCGATGTTTGTTTTTTATTCCTCTCTTCAGACTTTGCAGTAGCCAGTTCTGATGCCTTTTTGGTAGCCTCATTCTTAGGGGAAAAGCCAGACACACCAATGCTTTGTGCAGTTATCTTCTGAATTCAGGTAGTTCTGTTTGGAAATAACTTCTGCTCTGTCTGGCTTGATAGTGAGTAGGTAGAAAAAGTCTTTCAGCTTCTATTGGGCTGAAGGAGTGTATTTGTATGTCTTTTCCTTGAATAGCCACTATCTACTTCCATGCCATTTTCTTATTCCATGTTTCAGTGAAAATAGGGATAATGAACAATCAGAAATACCCCAAGAGTTGTTTTAGCTGTCCACTTATTTTACAAGCCTCTGCTGCTGAGATCACACTACTGTATTTATGCTGTGAAACCGGTTTTTATCATGTATATATTGAGTTAGTGTGTTTGCAATTGTCTGGATAAGCAGCAGTAGCTCTACCAATTGACTTAATATAGCAAGAGTGGGTATTTTTGTCCTAAAGACTGAAAATAGAATTTAATCCGCCTTAAGTAGAGAGCCTATAGTGGCACCAGCTGCATTTAGCTATGTTTTAGGAAGTTAAAGAGACTGCTCAAGATCATATATGCTAATATCTTAACCACCTTCATACTGCTAATCTTGTTAGGGGGAAAGATAAGTCTGATAAACCCATTAAAATTAATTTTTAATGCCAAGATTTTAAAAGCAATACTTGATCACATGACTTCCATAATGGCCTTTGTGCTCCAAGGCTCTTCTTCACACTTGAATCTCGTAAATTCTTGTGCATTGGAGCTGTCCCCCTGCTCATTTTGTGGTTCAGTGGAAAGAAGGCTGGGAAAGAATATGCTGTGGATGGCACTAAGAAAGCATGCAATAGCAAGTGGCAAGAATAAAGGATTAAGTTCATTATATTGACTCTTATGGCCCTCTGGGTCCTTTCTATAGAGCAAATTTTTAGAGCTGTCCCTTTTTTTCTGAAGAGATCTGTGGATAATGATCTGGAGAAATAGCGAAGAATGTCTTCAACCCTGACTGAAAATATTCTATTCTGAATCAGGGAGCAGAAAACATAAGATAGATCAGAAATATGTTTATGACTTTAATAAGTGTTGGGTGTGAATAAGAAAAAGTAGTGTCCTTACTGTTTCTTTTATCTTCTACAGGCAATTTTGATGACTTCAACTTAGAAGATGCACTTGGTAATTATTGCACTCACAAAGTTTGGGAGGTAGGCGGGAAAATAGTGGATGCTCTTCTGAATTGTTTGTTGCCAAGTATCACTACATGACCAAGCATGAAACCTTCCCTGCGTATGTTTGGTTTAAACCTCAGTGGAACAATTCAGCTATGGGTATGTTGACCACATAGAACTCAAATTTGTCTTCAGAACAATTAAGGATTTCTTTTAAGGGGAAATTGTCTTGCTTGTATAGATTTGATCTTGTGGTTTTCATTGTATAGACATATATTTGTCTTTTGTGTAGCTTCTGAACAGTGTATTAAATAGTATTTAACTTTTTTTCTCTAACCTTCTCTGACAGGAGAGATAAAGACGACAAAGAAGCCTCTTCCATCTCAGAAGACACCACCACAGGACTTTGGTGGGATATAATTGGCTTGTAATGTCTTTTGTTGTAAAGTAAGGTGTAGTGTACATAATAATTTGAGAGGCATGAACTTTTCAACATAGTGGCATACAGGGTTGTGATATTTCTATAAAAGAAAGCAGTTCCCTAAAAGCAAAAGGATTTCTTAATTTTGGAGTCTCCTGGTAGTGCTTTCACAAACGTACTTTGTGATTTCACAAACTTAAAGACTCTGTGAAAATCCCTTTTGTTGACTTTCAGTCTGCATGTTTGGAGCTTGCTCACCTTGAGCTGGCTCTTGACAGGTATCATGATCACCAAAAGCACCATGTCGTTTGGCAGATAGTGCCTGGTAACTGTGGGGCTCCTCTGTGGGCCGCTGTTGAATGAGCATGCTGTTACATTCTTGGTGAAAACATTGTGAGGTGCATTTTGTGTAAAAATAGTCTAAAACTAGTTCAGTTTTTGCATTACACTTAAAACTTCCCCTCTGTCTTTGTAGATGATTTTAACTTGGATGATGCTCTTCATCCTGGTAAGTGTCGTGTTTTCCTGGATACTGCTCAAAGGTATTTGTGCAATGTCTATCCATGCCTTATGACATAAATGTAATAAAGGGCACTGAGTTGATTAAGGTAGCAGACTGCAGATAAAATAATTGCAGTCTAGTTATGTTTATTTACTTTCATTTTAAAGGTTCTAGATCACAAAAACTGTATGAATTTCAATAATTTCTTAGCCAAGTCCTACATGTTTCATTATTGTATCTTCACTAGATGGCACTAATTCCATAAACTATTACTTATGGAAGTAGTTTTTAAATCTGAAGTAATCTCTTCCTTTATAGAAGTAATTTTAGTAGCACAAGTAAACATCAATATGTTAGAAATAATTTGAGGGAAAATACTCTTTCTGATGTGAAGACTGTGACCAAATACAGAAAAAATTGCTAAGATCTCTTATTCTCCAATTTTGTAGCAAGCTAAATGAAATGTCATTGTGGGGGCCATATTTTTAATTCTATTATTTTTAAGTGAGGTACCAACTTTTATTATTGGTTAAAATCCAGTAATTTTAAAAGAGTACATAATGTACCTGATAGAAAAATGTAAAGAATTTCAGCCTTTAAAATACAATGTGCAAATTAAAATGCTGTTTAACACTTGAGTTCTTCTGTATATGTTTGTTATAGCAAGGATCTGACATACAGGTTAATATAGCAGAAACACTGTTAGTTGCATTAAAATACTATGTTTAGCTAAAATAACCAAACAAATACAGCATTAGTTAGTGAAAGGAAAAATGACATGGAGAAGTTTTGATACCATTTTTTTAGGTCAAATAGTCTTTCAAGGTCATTGCATGCTCTACTTTTGGTCTCTTCACACGAGTAACTTATTCTAACTCTTTACTTGTTTATAGATGGTCCCAAGCCAAATCCTCCTGCAAAACCTAGAGACACTGGTAAGACTGACCTAACAGGAATTTCTGAACAGTAGAAGAGTATTTGTTAATCTACCCCAGTTCTTTTCAACATTACTGTATTGTAGTCCAGTTTTTCTATCTTAACCTTTTTTTTCTTTTTTTTTCATTAAATCTCTCTTCTGCATGTAGATAACCCCAAGCGAGATCAACCTAAAGACACTGGTAAGGCTTCTAGCACAAACTCCTGAATCAGGGTTTTACTGTCTCAGTTACACTTCTACTAATTGATCTATGTTAATTGGCCGCTCTCTGTGTCAGATGTTGCACTGGATAAACACTGAGGAATGAAGAAAAGTTGTCTTGCAAATAAACTTTGCAGCAGTCTTGAAATTCCATAACAAAGCTGTTGAGGCACTTTCACTTAAAAGCAGGATGGTGTAGGGAGGAGGCAGGATGGGACAGAGTGTGTGTGTGCTTGGGGCAATGCTGTGCTTGGCTGTCTGTGGTGGAGCACCCGTGTATTGGATTGAGCTCTTTCGTCTTTACAAACGGAATCCCTTCTAGTCATGCCAGAAGGTAAATAGGAACTGCCTATGATCTTTATTCTTAAAAGATCTAAATTAAAGATAAAGCTCCAAGTTAAAGGGTTGTTTTGGGGGTTTTTTTTGTTTGTTTTTTTTTAAAGGCCCAGTTAAGTAATACAATTATTTGTATTTGAAAGATAGGCTTATATACATGTCCTTCCCTGCCTGTTGTGCTTTAGAGGTCTTTGCCTAACCCAGAACAAAACAGATTTAGATCGATGCAGTTGTGAAAATGCCATTATCCATGAACATTGTGGTAAAGAGTCCTTAACTGGAATGCAAGCCCTGGTTCTCGTTCTTTCTGATTTGCAGCAGATACTTGAATTTGGGTCTTGCATGCCTCAGTACAGTGCTTTCACCACCCAACTAAAACATCCTCTGATGCAATACTTTTAATTTTGCTACTTGAAACATATTTGCTTTGCATAAACTAAGGATTCATTTGGCAGCAGAGGGGAGGAGGAGAAGGTCCCATGAGGGGGAAGGGAATGCTCCGTAAGGTAGGGTTCAGTGGAAATGGAGAGGGACTAGACCAATGTCCTGTAATAAATCAGAGAAGGGAATTACATTTGGACCGTTTGTGACTAAGAAACCCAACTCTGAAGATTCATTCACAGTTGCAGCCTTGAAAAGAAACGATCCTTTCCTATCCGCATCCTTTCTTTGCTTTCACAGCACAGGGAGACTTGGGTTATTCCAATTAAGTAGCTTATAGGGCTTCTTGCTTTCTTAGCCTGATTTGTGCTACTCTGCTCTTCTCGCAGTTGTTCAGAAAGTCTGGAGGCAGGAGTACTGCTGTCAAACTGTGTAGTGCTCAGCTGAAGGGACTTGACATTGTGAGGGCTTTTAAAATGTGAGCATATTGTGACTATGATGCTAAGCCTAAAACCACGACAAATTCAACTGAACGATCTTGAGAAAATTTCCATGTCATTATGGGCCTTGAGGTGTCTTTTCACTGAACTTAAAACAAGTAAGGTAATGCTATTTACATTTTTTATAGGCACATTTGATGATACAGATCTACTTGATGGCAATTCGCCAAAAGGAGGAGGTGATGGGAGTGGCAGCAATGGTAAGACAGTAGGTCGTGCTTCATATTGTTTCTGTGGTTACCTGAGTTTTTGATAAAATCTTACTCCCAAGCTGGTTAACATGCTCTAATTTGTAACACCTTCAGTTCTGGTATCTGAAACTTAAGAGCATATCTTTGAATTCAAAAGTAATGTGTTCCATCTCTACCAAAAAAACCCACCCCAAATAATTAAGAGGTAAAACTTGTCTAGAGGTAAAACTTCCATGATTTTTACTGTTATACTAAGAAGGATGGCTTTTTGAACTGAGAAATGAATGTGGTACTTACTTCATAATTTTCCATAAATATAGTTCTTAAAGTCCTCCAGGTGCTATTTTTAGATCTTCTGTGACATACTGGCAGTTTCATTTAGCTCTTGTAGTTAGACGGTCTGAAGGTGGGCCAGAAGAAGATCCACCCCATGTTCTCAAAAATATGCTTTGTCCCAAAGGATGAACTGATCCTTCCAAGTGATTCTTAATCTTCACTTTTTACTGTGAGAGTGGTGAGGCACTGGAACAGGTTGCCCAGAGAAGTTGTGAATACCCCATCCTTGGAAGTGTTTTGAGGCCAGCTTGGATGGAGCTCTGAGCAACCCAGTCTAGTGAAAGGTGTTCCTGCCCATGGCAGGGGGGTTGGAACTAGATGATCTTTAAGATCCTTTCCAACCATATGATTCTTTGTAGGGTGTATCTACTCTGAGCAGAATGAAACCGTTTCATAGTTTGCCAGACTTTCTTTCAGTAATTTGACATTTCTAATCATTGTGGCTCGGCTCAATACAGAGGTGGTCACTGCAACCAGGCTGCAGTAATGGTCATCCTTGGGATGTGTCTAGTCATCCCTGTGTGCGTTACTGAAACTTTATTATTTCCAGACCAGAGTTAGCTGAAGTATCTTGATGGGGTTTGAGGTGTGCCAATGGTTACTGACTTCTTCAGAGAGTTATCCTAGACAGAGATTACCTATGCCACTTTTTTGGGTAGCTTTCACCTTTCAAGCTATGTTTGGGGCAGTATCTTGAAAATTGGCAGGGGCAAGAAATATCTGTGGAAACTTGTGGGGTGTTTTGATCTGCACGGGTTCCTGCTGCAATGGTACAAGTTGCATCGTGACAAATATAGTTAGTATTTATAGAACATCGGTCTTGCTTGCAAAGAGAATTGCAGAAGTATTTAGTAAACGAGGCTGGGATTTTAGGAAAAGATGGTTGTTTCCGTGGAAATACAGCTGAGTGTTACTCTGAAGTTATACACTGTTCCTCTCCACTGAGTGTTCTGTGGTGGTGCACAAGTTGGTTAAACCAGATTTTACAAGTGCTCTGTGCTCATTTTGTAGAAGTGCTGAGTACTCAAGGCTGTAGTTGACACCACCATGACCAGTACTTTGAAAGCAGAAAGTTTGAATGCCAGAGTATGGATATAATAGATGGTTTGTAATTTTGGATAATTAATTGGCAAAAAGGTTGTCAATTATGATATGACTGTTCTTTAGACATGTAAAATGTAACCTTTCTGTTTGTTTTTACAGAACGAAGGGGCCAAACTCCAAATAATGGCCAAGAAGATGAGGGTAAATGCATGAATTTGTGTGTATGATGGCGTCTGGATATATGAAGTTTGTTTTCTGGAGTTTTCTGTGTTGCTCATCTTCTGCTAGAATGTTGACTACTGGGAGTGGGTTACAACTTAAAAATTTTTGTGGAATGTGGAATTCTTACTTTCAAGCTCTGCTTTCATAATCCTTTAAAATCTCTATGTTGCAAATAATTCGTAATTGTTAAGGTCTCAGAGATGCTGGTGCAGTGACCGCACGCATGGAAAGTAGATATTGCCATGAAAGGGGGTAGCATTTTTAATTAGTGGAAATTAGAACAGGAGTGCTTAAGTTCCTTAACAACAGGCATTGCTAAGAAATCAATGGTTATAAAATGAGACAAATCACTTTTCATTATGCATAAAGACAGAAAGAGTTGATGATTACAGTTTCATGTAATTTCAGTTTAATGATTTTTGGAAGTGTTCATAGGGTTTACTTTGAAACAATACAATTTTGACATGGCTTTCAATTTTGAAAAATGTATACAAACCTCTGTTTTTTTCAGCTTCTCAGGGAGCAATAGCTGGAATTGTAAGTGCTGTGGCTGCTACTGTAATTGGGGCAGTATCTAGTTTCATTGCTTACCAGAAGAAGAAACTCTGTTTCAAGCAAAGCGGTAAGAATTCTAAATTAATTTTATTTTCTACTGTCTAAAGAGATGTGTTTTTTTATTTATATGGGGACTAGAAACTGATCCTATGCATAAGGTAGTTTTAATAGCCCAGTGAATTTATGGTCACAGGGAGTAACCTTTCTTACTAATCATCTTAAGACAGGGTGACTGAAGAATGCCTTGCCTAAAAATTAGACTTTCAGAAATAGAAGAACTTAAGGCTTTACATTCCTAAAATAAAAGCACTTCTTGTTAAAACGTAAGCAGGAGAGACTGCAAGAAAACACTTTTTAAGGAAAATTGATTGGGGATTTGAGACTATTTTCATGCTGAAAAAATACCTTGTCATTTCTAATTTTGTAAGTTTTACCTTTGTCTTGCTATCTGCTTTATTTCCATCTAAATAAGATATAACTTAGATCAGAGAACTTTGGGAATCCTGTGGGTGATAGGAGGGGCAGAAGCTTTGGTTTTGTCTCTTTCAGTCTTTCTGACTATTTGGTGTGGGGTAGTGCAGTCATCCTGCCAGGCACTGCTGTTTTGTAATTTGGGAAATTTGGAAACTGAGTAACATCTCTACTATGCATGTTAAAGTGAACATGCAGGCAAAACAAGGACAACTCAACTACCATCAGGTAGCCCATTTTTTTCAGTGCTGTTTCTTATGTCAAATTATCTCTATTAATCAATAACTTTGAATATAAGAGAATTTGAACGCTAAACATCTCTTTGTTTCCCAGCAGATGAAGAGAATGTGAATATGGATAGCCATAGGGGAGCACAATCTGAGCCACCTGGTAAGACAAGAATCTAGATGGAAAATCAATTTTTTGATGGGGATCCTATTAAATGCACTTCATTGACATCTGACATAGTGGAGAAAATTATTTGCACTGTTTTGTTTAAAAAAAAATACTTATAACTATCAATTTTGGCAGAATATGATCCGGCAGTGTGTCCTGATGGCCAAGAAGGCCAATGGCATCCTGGCTTGTATCAGAAATAGTGTGGCCAGCAGGACTAGGGAAGTGATTGTCCCTCTGTGCTCAGCACTGATGATGCCACACCTTGAGTCCTGTGCTCAGTTTTGGGCATCTCACTTACAAGAAAGACATTGAGGTGCTGGTGTGATTCCAGAGAAAGGCAACAGAGCTGGTGAAGGGTCTGGAGCCTCTTAGAAGAATTGACTGAGAGAGGAGCTGGGAGAAAAGCCTGGAGAAAAGGAGGTTCAGGGGGCACCTTATTGCTTTCTACAACTACCTGAAAGGAGGTTGTATGGAGGCCTCTTCTCCCAGGTAACAAGTGATAGGACAAGAGGAAATGGCCTCAAGTTGTGCCAGGGGAGGTTTAGATAGGATATTTGGAAAAAATTCTTCACAAAAAGGGTTGTCAAGTATTGGAACAGACTGCTCGGGGAAGTAGAGGAGTTGCCATCCCTGGAGGTATTTAAAAGATGTGTAGATGTGGCACTTGGGGACATGGTTCCGTGGTGGACTTGGGAGTGCGGGGTTAATGGTTAAACTCGATGATCTTAGAGGTGTTTTCCAAAATAAACTATTCTGTGATTCTATGATTTTACCATGACAACAAACTTGGAACTAATTCAAGAATTGCATTGTGAAAATGTGGCCACTCTTCTCTGTTTTTTTATTTGAAGAGATTGTTTGATTGCCTTGAGAAGTCATTGAAATACAGGAGCTTAGAGAAAGTAAAGAACTGAATTTTCTCTGCAGAAGTATTATTAAAGACAATTATGAAAACACAAGCCTGCTCCTTTAGTGTAATACATAACTGCAATTAGCAGTTAATAAGTCTGTGTTGTTTCTGATTGGAATCTGAAACCTTTTCTGATTACAAACTGATACAGAACTCTGCAAGAATGTATATTAAAAATAATTATGTTTGAATTGTTGCCTAAAGAGACTGTGGAGAAAAAGGCTCCAGGCCAATTTAGTGTATAAGATAAGATAAAAGGAATTGGTCCTTTAATTAGCCTCAGGCCAGGGGAATACACAGCACATGTGTGCACCCAAACAGTGGTTTTATGATTTTATAATAAGGTCCATCCAATCCCAGGTCTATCTATCCCTGGTTCTGCCCCATTCTACCCCCCGACATACCCCTTTAGGAATTGAGTTTGGGATCTTTGGGACCCCTTCTTCCTCATCTTCATCTTCTTCACAGCACACATAGTCCTTGGAGCTCCTCCAGAGTTCTGGGCTTGAAGGTTACTGTGTCTGTGTGATACCTCCTAGTCCAGGCTTAGGGTGCTGTGTTCTTAAACAGAAGTGTTTTTCTACAATTCTACCTTGAAAAGAAGACTAAACATGCTAACAGAATTTAGAGGGATTGATATGAAATGGGGTAACAGGGTTGGGTATGTGTAACTATTATGCTGCAGGGTAAGGAGTATAATACAGCTACATTAAAATCTGCATTTACTACACAACTACTTCTAAAATCTACAAAAGTTAAAAAAATTCAAAAAGCTCTGAGGCATCAGAATAGAGATGTAACTATACTGGAGGCAAGGAGGACTAAACTCGCTTTGTTGTAACTAAAGCATTTTCTGTTGTGAACAGGGAATGATTCTTGTATGAAAGAACCATCACGTAATTGATCAAAGGTGACACCTGTGAAAGGTCTCTTTTAAAGCAACAAAAACGTTTGCAACCTCACCCTTCACTTACGGTGGTCTAGGGTACTTGGCTGATAGAACAGGTGTTTAACTCTGGGAAAGCCATAGATAGTTCTGGAGGAAATGGTATAGGTGAAAACTTGGTCTTCTAGCCCTTGTGACTGGTCAACAAAGGAGGAAGTAGTATAACCTCGTGCTGAAGTTTACTGAGTGTTTTTGAAATACTGAATATTAAAATACCGAAGCAGTATATATTTTCAGTATATTCTTCTGTGAGTTTAAAATCTACAGAATTATTTCTGGGGTTTATGTAATTAAAAAACCCCAACAGTTATATCTTATTTTTCTCAGATATTTCATCTGTTTGCTAAAAACTTTCATCGGGCTTATGGTCATCTTTATAAACACTTTTCCTCAAAGCTGTTAAATGTATAAAACTCTCAAGGGCACATCATTTTCTTGTGACTGGCTGTCAGGACTGGAGATAGGCAGGTATCCTCAATTCAGCGATGCATTAGTGAAGCAAATAGGATCATTCAAAGACCTATACTAAAGGCAGTTAAAAATATGAGTTGTAGTTGGAATATCCTAAAATTTTGTCTGAGATTGATCAGAACTCAAATGTGAAATGTGTCAGATGATGCATATTTTATTTTAACCAGTAAAGTCAAACTCAGGATGTTATCATATATGATTATTCCTGCCTACGTATTGATGTCACATTACATCCCATATTTTATACCTCTACTATATTTTACAGACAAGCATGATCATGTTTTGTGCCAAGAAACTGGGCATCCATGATCAGAATGGTGCTGCTCCTGATCTAAGTTCTGGGAGTCAGCAGATGTCAGCTCTGCTTCTGCTAATAGAGTGCTGGTGTACCTACACAGCTTCTAGTTTAAAAGAGGTCTTTTATGAAGCCAAGTCAGATGGCACAGCAGAATAGATTTATGTTTTTAAAATTTTATGTAGGCTTATCTTTGACTTCCTAAAAGTATAGTTAACCTAGACACCTTGTTTCAGTAACCTACTTTTCCATTATTTACACAGTCTGTACTCCATTTCATGTTGGCATCCGCAAAAACTGCAAGCCTGAAACTGCAAGTGTAGATAGATTCCCTGATGTAGTAGGATGTGGTTATTTGAGTGAGAAATCTGGCATGTAGTATACCTTGATGTGCAGTGTTTTGGCTTCACAGAATCAAGCTCTGCTTACCTGAATTTATCACACAGTGCCAAATGCCTACTGAAACTTTGTTGTCTGCATGAACTATTAAATAACTTACAATGTCCATGAACTTAATGTACTAATCTTGAATTGTTTTTCACTTCTTAGTTCAGCGCACGCTTCTGGAGAACTAAATTAAAGAAAACGTGATGAAGAACAGATCTTGAAACTGGATAGAGAGCTTGCCTTCTGCCTGAAAAAAAGAAAAGGACACAAAAAAAGCATAACATAAACAGCAGAGTCTGAAGTTGCATTAGAAAACTGTTCTTGTTTGAAACATCTCTGGGAGTGTGACTTAGACCTGAGTACTTCTGTATGGTTAGCCCTGTGAAGCATTGTTGCACACCAATACATGGCCTTAATGACAGGAGTGTAGAAGTATGTTGTGCCTTTACATTCTTGCCTTTGCTCCTCTGACAACTGGGTGTGTCTCAAATGCATTTGGTATGTTTAACTTTTCCTTACCTCTCCAAAAACAATAAGCAGTTAAGGTTTTGTTATGTCATTGCTTTCAGGCAGTACAAGCATTTTCTTTTAATACCCTGTGTGCAGTGAGTGTGCCAACCAACCAGTCTGGTGTATATTATGGGCACCGGAAAGCAAGTGGCTCACTGTGTATGAATGATGGATGTGGGTGTGGGTGCTGCTGACCCAATCTATGTAGCTGCCTGGGTCAGCCACCAGGGAAGAGATACTTGTTCTTGAGCATTCAAGAGACAAAAATTCAGTTTTGTTTTTGCATTTTTTTTCATTGCATCTGTCTGGTACAGATTGAGAAAACCCAAACTTAGTGCATACAGACCCTTCATCCTTTCTGGCTCTTCCTGCTTTGCGAGTACTGAGCTGGTCAGTTGTGGAAAAGCCTTATTTGCACATCAGAACCATAGCTGGATTTTGTATATCCAGCAAGGTCGATATTTGGCATTGTCTAAATAGTTGTGGCTGAAGCACTGGGGAGTGGGGATTAACATCTTTAGACTTCCATAACCAAAAGCTTAACATCAAATAATGTTGAATTCAGAAGGTGTATCATACACATGGAAGGGACAGAAACAGTACTACAGGTCAAAAGTACAAAATAGCAAGACTGACCAGAACAACCCAACCCCACTCCACAGGCATCCACTGAACAGTATAAATAGCATACGTGTGAGAAGTGCTTTTGGACTTGTGAAGGATTGCCCTTGGGATGACAACCTATGACTGCATCCTTATTTGAAAGCACTTGAGAACTGTGCTGTGGCTCTTGAAAGTGAAAGGAAGGTTTCAAGGATCTGTGGAAACATGGAAAACTGCAACTCATAACAACTAAAGGACTAAATCTGGAATAATAACTAGTTCCGTCTGGAAGGAATAGTCTGACCAGTTTTGTTGGCTTTCATTCTAATTCTTTTAAATTTTCATGCAGTTTTACAATATGTGTCTTACTAATGTGTTTTAGCCACCTGACAAAGTTCTACAGGAAGATGACATTTCATGGAACATCTTAGAAGTCATTACTGAATTTGGATATTAAACCTGTAAATATATCTGTACATTCAAATATGAATGTATGCCAAGGATAATTCATTTAAGAATTTCTTGTACATGTTTCTTAGCTTGCAACAAAGCTTTACACAGATTTTAGTATTTTGTTATGGAATTAATTTGTAAGCCTCTTGCCCCACTTCTGCTTTTGGTACAAAAGTGCTAAAACCTTTAAGTGTGTTTGAGAGTGCAAAAGTGGTTATTATATAAACATATGCTCTATGTAAATACAAAGAAACGTCCCGCTCACCTGAATGAATAAATAGGTATCTCATATCAATGCTAAGTGTGGAGAAAACAGAAATAAGTCAGAGTTTGTTAGAAATAGAATGGCAGAGGAAGCTCAAAATAGCTTTTAGCTAACCAGATTTTTGAATCCTTTTTCAGCTTTTGCAAGCTTAAAAATTACTTATTAAAATCTCCTATCAACATTGTGATTTTTCTAAAAATAAATTTAAAAAAAAAGGTTTATGTGTTTTTCTCCTTAGTAGTTCTAAAAATACAAAACTTTTGGTGCTCAACTTGAGAAGGAACCTTCAAATAGTTTGTCTTCCTGCTCCATCAGCTGTTCAGATTTATTTCTTACAGACATTTTAATCATTTTAGAAGAAAGTTGTCCAATAGCAGTAAAGTTTTGAGTTGCTTTCACAGGGTGCTTACCAGTACAAAGTGCAGAGAAGACATCTCTGTGAAGGACAGGCATGGCTTTTGAAGAAGATTTGATAACACAGACTCTACTGAAAATATGGACAGCAATAGAAGGTTTAGTATGGGCAAACTAAACACTGTTGAGTGTTCCTCATCCAGATATTATCACATCCTTTAGAAGCAGACACTTTTGCAGGGCCATGTGTTGTCTCACCTGAGGTGAGAGGACCATAACTGAATGAGATAACAATGCAGGGGTTGCCAAGTGCCTAAATACTAACAAATTTACTAATTCTAGTTTTCAGTCTAAATAAGCATAGGTTACTGCATGAATTTTGGGGACAAGTATACTCCACAAAGCAGGCAAACCTAAAGACAGTGTTTGCAGGGAAAGGCTGTTGTAATGCTGATTTCAGCATCTCTCATGTCTAGTTTTGCCCCCTTACAGATTTGCAGGCTGGAGTTGTGGAAGAAGGAAGAAAGACTCGCTGCTGCCACCTAGGAAGAAAAGTTTAAAGAGAAAGCTTGAAATTATAGGCTTTTCTCTTGTTGTGAGAGGCTGCCAATTTATGGATTTCTGTTACTTATCTGTGGATAAAATGTAGCAGTTTACTTGCAGCTATTGGGATATTAATTGCTATGTTGCTATTTGCCTCACTACCCATAGAGTCTTTGATTTGTTTCTTCCTTGTTCAGCTGCCGTTACATTACATAGCTAAATATCCTAATTCATTATTTGTCCCATTCCTTGGCACAGTAAACGTTATCAGTTAGAAATTATTCATCACCCTAATTAAGTAGTTTTATGGTCATCTTCCACAGATCAGCTGCTGCCCATCATGGCCTTATGACCTGCGAGGACTTTCAGATCCAAATTTGGGAATTAATGTTCTAGTTTCTGTATAAGTATCAGTCAGATATAGTGGAATGTACAGTGGAATGAAAAAATACTGTCATTTCTAGGCCCAAACTGCAAGTTCACCCTGGTGAGGTACCTTTACTATTAAACTGAGTTAAAATGGATGGCAAAAAAGAGCTCTATCCTATCCTTGTGGCACACCTTCTTCAGTTCTGTTTTTTCTTCAGTCTACCTCCTTTGAGGACAAGGAGTTACCATCAGTAATAGGAGGAAGAATAATCAAAGCAGGATCTTTTTGTAGAATAATACACCACTTTAGCTTCTACAGGGTAGATGTGGTGGCAGTTTAGTTCGTACTCTCGGTGGAAAAGACTGCTTTAAAAATATTTTGATGGCTTTCAAGTGCGATGCCCATTTCAAATACTTATCCAGACAAATTCATCGGGCTGTGGAAATGAAAGCAGGCAATTCTTAAGCATGAAATTTGGCAGCCTTTTACTGTAGCTCTTATTTCATCTCATTTCAACGTGAGTGCCAAATTTTGAATGCTAAGAAAAACATTTTAGTGCACTCTGGTTTCAGTGTACCTTGGGCTGAATTACGCTCTCAGTGCCACATTTCTGTGCCTTTTTTTCCACTAATTAGGCCACCATCTAAGCCATACAGTTCTATGTGTGTTTTTCACTTGACAAGATGATGAGACAAACCTTAACCTTTTTACAAACTGAAAATATTATTTTCTTTTTGCTCTTTTCTGTTACACAAATGTAAAAGACCTGTTTGAAAGGAAGTGATTATTAGGAATAGAAAAAGGACTTGAATGGAGCAAAAATACATTTTTTTCAAATCTCTGCATTTGGAGTACTTTAAGAACCACAGAATAAAAATACATGTTCCTCCATCTGCTTGTGGAAAAAACATTAAAGTTTCAGCTAGTGCATAGTAATTGTAATCTGTTGACAAGAAATTGTATCACCAATTCACTTGTGTGTTTGGCTTGCATTTAAATTAATGCCTAATATTACTGGATGCTTCAGTATTTTAATTAAAATACTTCTGGTTTTATGACAAAAGATGAGTAGTGTAGGATATTAGTGGCTTTCCCAAGTAGTTCTACTGTATAATTCAGTTCTTTCATCTCCTATAGACGCATACAGCAGGTTACCCATGCCAAAGAGAGCAATGTCTAACCTCTGCCCACAGGAAGGATGGAGCTGCCAATGTGATGAGTTGTGGCTGCCCTCTTTTTCCTTTTTAGCTTCTGTCATCTAAGAGAGGCCTGACAGGCAAAAAGTAAGTGGCATAAAGAATAGACAAACACGCTGTCTCCTTTTCTACCCTCATTTGCCATTTCTAAAATATTGGGGTTTTTCTTGAAAGAGCAAATTTTAAAAAAAAGATAGAGTTCATCCACCTTCTCAGGTGAATAATAGTCAGAACTCTTTTTTTCCCTTTAAATTGAAAGCAATGGGTCAATGATATCTCAAAGTATTGAAACCAATATATGGTCTGGTGTAAGGCTATATATTTCTTTTTAATATATAATGGGTTTTTATTTGCTATCTTGGGCGAGCAGTTGCATGTTTTTGACAGAACTAAGATTAATGAGTTCCTGCAACGCCTCCAAGAACAGAAGTGAGATAAATATTCAAGACATCCTGACTCCTACGCTAGGTCCACTCTTTCCAGTGCTGCCTTTGAATTGTTTTATTTAACTATACAGAGCAGTAGCTGGCTTCAGAAGAATTAGAGAAGATGTACATCATCTTCAAACTTCATCTGAGAATGTTCAATATCACAATAAATTTGTATCACTCTCAGGTGAGAGAATGCATTTTGGGAAGACTTCACTTAGAAGAGCAACTGCTTTGAAATAGAGCTACTGAACATGAGGTGCTTGGACTTGCCTGGGACCAGTACATAGCCTTGCTAACTTTCCTGTTCCTTTCTGGCAAATTCAACACTGATATGAAGATTACCACACACAGGCCTGCTTCTGGTATTCTTGAAAAAAAATAAACTGGATTTACGGGATTGCTCATTTCATGGTATAGTTCTTGTTTTAACTGGCTGACAAAGTCACCTCTTCAACCTAAATGTCCTTAACTCTTTGGAGATGGAGCAATTGGCCCTGACATGGACAATGATGATACACAAATTGAACCTTAAAGCTTCTATTAGTAGCTTAAAAATAGTTAAACCATGTGATACAATAAGCCAGACTTTTATAAAACATTCTGCTGGTTCAAATTTGGGTGGGAGGAGTTGACCTACTCTAACATCAAGCTTCTTGAAGATTCAGTATCATCAGGTTCTTTCAGTCCAACTTATGTTGTTGCATCTGTTTTTTGTAGTTAGCATAAAAGCATGAATTCAGTTGTATGTTTTAGTTAATAGAAATGCAGTTGGGGGCAGCCTGTGCCCCACATTAAACTGAATCACCCAGCACCACTACAGGTGTTCAGGTTGGCCATTCATGGAGTAGAGTCCTGAGCTATTTGCTGCCCTAGACAAAACAGCACTGACAAAACCCCCTGCAGCTTACCCTCCAGCCCAAGAGAGGATGCACACCAGTCTCCTTGCTGGCGCCGAACACCAGTGTGATGGCTGCAATCCAGTTCAAAGGACAGAAGCGTTGGCGTATGCATTTGCCAGAGAGAGGCTGTAACAGAACTGGATTTAATCACATCAGTGATTTTAAAGTATGTCCATGTACAGATAGATGCATGAATTTTGTTAATTTTCCAAAGCTTTGTATCATCATACTTGGTGCTGTCTGACATTTCTCTACATGCATGGACATGTATAATTAAATACAAAACTAGATCAATGGAAAAAATCATGATGAGCAATGTTTATTTTACCTTGTGAAGATAAGAATCCACAGGGGAGCTGAGTATGCTTCAGTTGTGTAGTCCAACATCACATTTTACGTTTATAAAATTAGTTTATAAAATTTAAGTTTATAAAATTTTTTTGTCATCCCTCTTTAGCCAATTCCCAAGTCTCTGCAAAGCAGATTCTTGGCCTCTTATTCCCTAACATGGTGGCCTGAGTTAGGGGTTAAGGTGCTGGCAGTATTGCCTTTATCAGTAGTTGTTGCTCAGCCAAGAACCGAGCAGGGAAGTGGTGCTTTGAGGACAGAGTATGTCTGAGTGATTCTTTCAAGCGCACTTCAGAGAAAGATGGTCTCCTCTTACAAGCTACTTGAGCTCTCACAGCACCACACCCTGCTTTGAAGGCAAGGATGTCAAACAGGTTGGTTTTCCCTTGCGGGGAGGAGGTGGACTCAGAGCATTCTGGCTCCCTCCTCATTGGGTGCTGCCATTGCTTCCCCCGCTCTCCATGCTTCCTGCCTGGGTAATAAATAGATTTCTTGGAGCACAGTTTGCACCTCAGGTGCTGCTCACAGCTTGGCCCTAGCAGGGTTGTTTGCTTTTGTTACTTGTCTTGTACGCAAACAGGTTTTCAGGGACTTCTCCCTGTTCTACATTGCTTGGATGTGATGGTGAGAGACCTCTTTGGGCAGAGACGCTGATTCTAAGTGTGTCCCTCAAACCTTAGCACTGCCATTGCAACATCATCACTTGGAAAAAAACAAGCGGTACAATCAAGGCACTGCATAGAAGAGCATGGAGAAATTCAGAAGTATTTTTCTTTTGTGCTTTGGCTTCCTTCTAGTCCATGTAAGAGGTAAGTGACCTTTGCCTTGGCTTATTTCTAGAGCATGATCATTAAAAATGAAAAAAAATCAAAACCTTAAACTCCAACCCCTAAAACAAATATGTTTGTTTATTTGGAAATGCTTGCTGCCTTTTGTTTGTTTGTTTGTTGCTACCAATTCGTGAGAAGCATTCAAGAGTGTTTACATAAGTACTTCTGCAGTTTCTAAAGAGATATATATCTCTTGGATGATTGCTCATAATAGCCATGCTAGTTGGAGTTTCTTTTTTATAATATCTTATTTTCTCTATTATGTTGCTCCCATAAAATTATTCACAAGCTCAGACTTGAGTATAAACTTTTTAAATGGAAGCGGTAAAATGAGAGCTTCCAGAGGAACTTAAGAGTTTCCAAAGAGATCCTTAGTAGAATACTGACTTCAGGTTTTAAAGCTTTTCTCGGTTTTTCATATCTTGAAACATATTAGTTTTTTTGTAAAAACAAATTCTTATTCAGTTTAAAGATTCTCATGCTTTTGTATTGGTGCATATGGTTAAATAATTATAAATAATTGATTGATTAACCTTAGTCTATGCATTCAGCACACAAGCATACATTTTTTCATGCAGGATTAGGTAAGAATTGAATGCGTTTTATGTACATATTTTTGATGAACAAATAGCAGTCAGGAAAATGTAACCCTTTCATACTTAGTCATTTAACTATATTCAAACACAAGGTCTTTTTGCAAAACATTCTGTTAAACTTTTCTTGATGTCAAACCAAATAGGATCATCCTTGTGTGCACTTGCCATATGGTGTACTTGTAACCTTTTCTTTTTTGTGTATTAGCATTACTTCAGAAACTTGTAGTGCAGTGTTTGGCTGCAGGAAGAAATCTATCATTGATCACTAATTCCAAAATAGCTGCTGCTGCTGCTGCTGCTGCTCCTCCCACCACCTCTGATTGAAATGGAGTCCCCAGGAGACCTTGCAGTGATGAGCAGGGAAAACACTTTGCCTTAACTTAGTGCAATATTTTGATTTTAACAAATGAGAAATTATTTAGAGTTCTTCAGCAAGTAACATTGCATAGAAAGAGCAGAGCACTAGGACTGTGCTGGCCCACATGTAGCGTGTTGTGAGCAGTGATGATGCATGCAGTCTCTCATCTCTGGCATGCAGATTTTCTTGTTCTGGAGGACTGTCTTATGCTGAGTATTTCTGTTCAAACAATCTGAGCATGAGCAAGCCAATTTCCATATACTCTACCATTTTAATTATAAAGGTAGTCAGCCTAATCATTCTTGATTTATGCATGTCTTAATTTAGAACCTGTTCAGGCCCTGCTTTGGGGGAGAAGTCATTGCTGAAAGTTGCTGTGAGCTTTGGGCACAGTCTTATGACTGTGGAAACTATTTAATCCACTTTGATGAACAAAATTAGTTGTTTTAATCTATAGCAACAGACACTGAATTTCATCATCAAAGTATTCACCATGTTTCAGGGGACATATACAGGAACCACTTCTCAGTCCCCAATCAAGACATGATATGAGAAAGGCTTGGCCATGCTGGTAAAAAGCTGGTCTAAGTCCTCATGATAGAAATGTCTGTGGCATTATTCACCTTTTTATATTGCAGCTTAATTCTTTTCTAAGCTGTAACAATCTGTGATAACTTCTAGAAACTACTGGGCCACCACAGTCAGACCAGATGACGTTATTCTTCTTCTCATTTAGCACTTCCTTTATGTCTGGCTATCTTCAGTTGGTTGGCTAGATTCCCTTGATGGACACATCTCAACAGAAGAATGGCATAAAGAAGGACCATATTGTGCAAGGAAAGTGAGACCTGATACAGTTCAGAAACTTCCATGCTCAGTGCAGTCTTCCATTTTAAGCTACTTTGGCTTTTGTAGTTTCCAAGCCTGGGTAGGTTGCATGAAGGCTCCCACGTAAGTTGAGCTGCAGCAACTAATTGTCTGAATGTCTTTTACTCCAATCCAAATGAAACTTTCCACTGGAGTCCATCCCACGTCACTTACTGAGGCTGGGCTGACGTGGTAATCCAGCTTGGGCTGTGTCTACATTGCCCACTTAGGCTGTGCTGAGACACAACTCAGTTAGGTTCCTAGCCCCCTGGTAAGTGAGATCATGCACTTGTTGGAAACATAGCGTGGGTCTTATTTGGACCATAAACCTGTGTGCACACCTGCAGTGGGGAAGCAGTGCAACCTGAGGGCTCTTTCCTTTAGGGACCTGGAAAGCAGGTGAGACTCTCACTCAGACCTGACTGTCCAGAATGCTCCTCAGGTTCCCAATATGGACATAATCTATATATCCATGGTCTTTAAGGTCAGCTGATAGATCACATGTTTACTTAGTAACAAGGATGGTGAAAAGATTGATGTCTGAGATGCCTTAAGTTTGCTCCATCAGGTATGGAATGCTACACGGGTAAAGGGAACAGCATTTATTGCTAGCCAGTAAGCCACGTACCGCTGTTCAGCTAAGGCTTACTAAGTTTTTGACTCAAAATTAATTGTATTCTTGATTAATTAGCTGGGCACTTTATGGGGAGAAAATTACAGACCTCTTTGGATTTGAGACACTATGTGACTTAGTTCTATGAATAATGTAGTTTTCACTTGAGTTAAGAAGCAGAATAGAAGAGATGAAAAACACAGTCCTGTTTTTCTTACTGCTCCATCTCGCTCCAGTCCTCGCTGTCATTCTTGTGAGGTCCCTGTGCACATGCTGAAGCACTCGTGGGAGCGAGGGCAGGGAAGTATCAGACAACAAATTCTCTCCTGCTGACCTCCAAAACTATTTCACTCCCAATACCAGAACGGCCATTATCTGTAGGCATGTCAGTGCTATCATTCAAGGTTGTGATTGCAGTGAGATAAATTGACATACCTGAACTGGTTGAAACAGTAACTGAAACACTAATGGTAGAGTTGTTGCAACATCAGAGCTTGAGAAGAGAAAAAAGGGGTAGTTACTCAGCTTCTCAGATTCACTTTTCAAACATTGCTGCCACATTGCAAGCCTGGCAGCAGTGCCCAACCTGCCTGTTTTCAGTATGTATTTTAACTCATTTGCATCAGCAATTGTCAATCCCTTTCCGTCCCATGATGGTAATTAAAAAAACAAATGTCAGAATTCTTTCAAGATTAGAAATCAATAAAAATAGGCCCTTAAGAGAAGGGAGGTTCAGATTGTCTTGATTAGTCTTCCTTCATTTCCACAGCCTGACGTCTATGAATGTTATGGGAAAATACTGTCTAAAATCTGATCTGAGGCACAGTATCTCATGAAGGCAAACACCATCTCAGATGATAGAAGGGGCTTGGATGAAAACATGAAAATATAACAGTTTCACTTCCATTGAATAAGCTTTGTCTGTCATCAATAGATTTTTAATTCCCGAGGAACTTATGTAGGAAGTAAAATCACAGCAATATATTTTTAAAGGGCAGCAATGCTCCATATTAAATGAAAACAAAGGCCAGAGTAGGCACTAAGATTAGCAGAAAAATTAAAGCAAAGTCCTTCCTTACATCCCAGGTCTCCTTCCTTACATCCCAGGTCTTACAACACCAGTGGTGAAGGAACCAGGAGCATACACTTCACATCAGGAACAGTCCTGAGTTAACAGCAACAAAGCCCCCAGGATCACAATCTATATTGCATCAAAACTGCAGCTCCATCTTGCAGACTACCATCTGCAAGGAGCAGAAGTTGAGATATGAGCCAGATATTTCTATTCACAAATGTCTCACAGACCATTTTGTTTCCTGAGTGCAATGGTAAAAGAAAGAAACTGGCTCTTTGTTCATAAATCCAACCGAGATATTCACAACATTTTGCATGACCATGACAAGGCTCTTCATTTCAGTTCTCTGTGGAAGACTAAGCTGTCAGATCCTCTTCCAAGTCTCTTGCTTCTGAAATTCAGATACAAACTGATGCTCCATCACCCTCTGTCCAGGGTTATTCTGAGAGGCTTCTCTGTGCACTGTGGTGGCACGTGCAGAGGCTTCTTCAGCCCTGAGAAGGGAACCTAATTGTATTTCTCATTTACTCTGTAGAGACTTTGTTGCTGAACAGACCTGCTTGCTTATGTCCAGCAAATCTTTCCAGCATCATTCTTTTCTGGAAAACATGTTCTTAATGGCATGAAAGAGAGAAGAGGCAGCCCTTGCTTTATTGCTGTCTTGCATCATAAACACACAAGCAAAGAATCTGTATAAAACACCCTGATCATCCACTTCGATTTGGCAATATTACTAACCCCTTTGGAAGTAATATAGATATTTATGCTGATGGGCTACTGTGACTTCAGGGGGCACAGAATTCCTGAAACAAATTCAACTTGATGTTAAGTTACAGGATAGCACTATTGAGATCTGTGCTATCTATCCCTGCTGAAGATCTAGAGGTATTTTGCATGTATTTTACCAGTGTACCAGGTATGTCCAGAGCAAAGCGAATATCATAGAACTAGAAGATTTTCTTTCATGTTTGATGAGACCATGCTGCACAGAGCTAAAGCAATACTGCCACTCTTGCTTTATTAGCCCATCTAAGTTACTAGTAATTATTTAAATGTGTTCTTGTTTGAATAAGTGAGACAGTCCTTTTAATTTCCCTTGAATTCAAACTACAACCAGAAGTGGCCTAGCTAAAAACATGAAGCCAATAATCAGGCCACATGTTGTGGTCTATATACTGGATCTTAGGTCTTAATTATAGATTTTAAAGCATACTCATTTTCCACCCCAGCATCGAGGAGTTGTAATAGCAATCATTGTTTATGAAACTAAAGGGTCATGAAGGAAAAACAAGCTACAGTAACCTCATCAGGAAATATGGATCATGAGGGTATTACATGAAAGAAATAGTTCCTGCTAATTGAGATTTTGTCCACAGTGTCCACTCTGGGGTGTAAACTTTAATGTTCTCCCAAAACTTTTCTTAAATGAGTAATTTCCTTTAAACAAACATAATTGTTTCCTGAATAAAG